CCCAGACACCTTTCCAGCTTCCCACTCATTGTGGCTCCCCTAGTCTGTAGGTTTGAGGGGTGCTGCAGCTTCATCACCTGCCCTCCTGGCATTCCAGGGTGAGGGGGATAGCAGCTGTAGTGGGGTGGCCTCTGGATTCCAGGGGGGTGAGGTGCACAAGAGGTAGGGCCTTGGGCAGAAGAGGCAGGTCTAGAGGCTAGTCTCCCCAGCTAGCAGTTCATGCACTGCCCATGTCCCCGTGACGTCGGAGGGCCCCAGGGCTAGGGTAGTGCTCCAGGCACACCACAATGTCTACCCCACAATTAAACAACCCCATAGCCTGCCTAATGGCCATATAGACATACCCTTACAGTCCCCAAAGCCAAGGCCACGTAGGCCCTTGCTCTTATGAAAGCGAGCTCTGAACTGATTCGGAGGATGGTCAGGCCAGCCATCAGGACCTGCTGACATGCAGGAGACAAGAAACTCATTCATATGATCTTCTTGCAGTCTCTACTGACTCTCCATGGATTCTGCTCCCCTTTTTCTTTCCCATTCAGGGGCCAGGGAGGCACCACTAGCCGTAGAGAGCTGCCTGAAGGGAGTAAGAGAAGTTTGATGGCAAGGAGGCTAATTTAGAAGCTATTGAAGCCAATGCTTGTGGGTGAGAAGTGACTGGAGGGAAAGCAAGAGGCTCTATTCCTGCCCTGTTCTCCAGTGGCCTATGGGGTTGTGTGCATGAGGGCTAATGACCCTCATTGTCAGCTGGTAGAATTGTGCCGCTCTGGTGCTAGATAAGAACATAAGAACGGCCATACTGGATCAGACCAAAGGTCCATCTAGCTGGGTATCCTGTCTGCCAACAGTGCCCAATGCTAGGTGCCCCCAGAGGGAGTGAACAGAACAGGAAATCATCAAGCAATCCCTCTCCCATTACTAGCCTCTGACAGAGGTTTGGAACACCATTCCTCCTCATCCTGGCTAATAGTTGTTGATGGATCTAACCTCCATGAATGTATCTAGCTCTTTCTTGAATCCTGTTAAAGTCCAGGTCTTCACAACCTCCTCTGGCAAGGAGTTCCACAGGCCAACCGTGCACTGCGTGAAGAAAAACTTCCTTTTGTTTGTTTTAAACCTGCTACTTATTAATTTCATTTGGTGACCCCTAGATCAGGAAGAAGGTGGCTATTTGGCTGCCTTGCTATTTTCCCAGCTAGCACTCCAGCCCCCGGGGAATCTCCCTTCACTTCACATTGAAACCTCAAGGGAGGCGCTTCTTACTTCCTCACACCAGTCCCCATCTCTCCCTGATGTCTAGCAATTGGAGAGGCTGCAGAAAATGGCCACAGAAGTCATATGAGCTAAAGAAAATGCCCATGCAGTGAGAGTAACAAAGCTCAACCTGCTTAATTTATAACAGGGATTCTCAAACTTTATCTCACCGTGACCCCCTTTTGACAACAAAAATTACTACACAACCCCAAGAGGAGGGATGGAAACCTGAGCTCACCTGAATCGTGCTGCTATGGGTGGGAAAGAGGAGGGATGGAAGGCTGAGCTCACCTGAATCGTGCTGCTATGGGTGGGAAAGCCAAAGGGCAGGGCAGGATGGGGGCCAAAACTGAAACCCAAGGGCTTCACACCTAAGCAAGGGGCCAGGAGCTTTCCTTCTTGGGTGGAAAACCCTGGATACTTGAGGACTCATTGCTCTAGTGGAGAAAGGCATCACACAGGCCAGTAGCCGGAAGCTGAAGCCAGACAAATTCAAATGAGAAATCAGGCACAAACTTTTAACTGACATTTGCAGTGAAAGTGATTAAACCATTGGAACAGACCACGGGAAATGGGGGATTCTTTGTCTCTTAAGACTGGGTGCCTTTCTGCAAGACATGTATTAGTCAAACATATGTTATTGGGCTCAGTGCAAGAGTAAGGGGGTGAAACTTAATGGCCCGGAATGTACATACAAGAGGTTGGGTTAGTTGATCTGAAGGTCCTGTCTGGCCTTAAGCTCTTTGAAAGAATGGAAGAAACAGAATAGCGCCATGAATGCTATAAATTAAAAACATTAATAGTTACGAGCAGTGTTCCCTCTAATTTTTTCTATCCACATGTGGAGTAAATTTTATTATGTGCTGGCTGTAAGCGCTGTGGGCATTCTGCTAATCAGCTGGGCAGCACTGAATCTTTCCTGGGTGGCTGCTAGTGTTCCCTATAAGCTGAGTCCTTGGGTGGCCACCCAGGAGAGATTCAGATGCCACCCAGCTGATTAGCTCAAGCTCTCAGCTTACAGAGAACACTGTAAGGTATGGAGATGTGGTGCCAGATCATGTTATCACTTCTGTTCTTAAATTCTGTGATTCTTGGGAAATAGTTTGTTCCTTCCCCAGCATCAGACCAAAACTGAAATGGCAACCACATTTTCTGTAACTTCTTTTTGTGAGTCTCTACTTGTGCTCTATAGAAACAGCAGCGGGGGGTGGAAGTGAAGGGGTACAACCGTTATAATGTTAGTGTATAAGCAGAAACTTAAATGTGGCTCTCAGTATGGGTACATTTGATGCCCATGCTGCTATGTGGCTGCAGCATTTATTAGAAAGATTTGTTTCAAGGAACAGGCTAGGAAAGAAGAGGTTTTAGTATTAGCTAGAAGTGGTAACTAGAGTGATGCCTAAAATAGGAAAATTCTTTGTTATTTTCATTAAGCTGTGGCCATCCAGACACACATAAACAAGTCAGAATTCCCCTTAGAATACAGTTACTAGAGAAGCCAACCCCCATTTCTGGCTTACTTACTCCCATGACCTCTCTGACCAAGGCCTATTTATCAGCCCAACACAGATGGGAAAATACTAGGCTGGCTTTCTATGCATGCTCAATGGAGTCCCCTTAATGCTATTCATGGTAACACCTTTCCATCTGAGGCAATTCTGAGACAGTTGTAAATGTGCTTCTTAACCTACAAAGGCCCATATGTGAGAGACAGGTCTATAAAGAGGGACACAAGAAAACATGCAGGGCTGAGTGCTTAAAATGTGAGCCCAATTTATATAATATAAAAATAAACATTGTGTGTAACCCCAGTGTAACAAGTCTATATTTCTGTTGTTCCAATGTTAGAGTAGTTGATGTAGCAAGTTTATGTGGAAGAGAAGTAAATGTAGGCAAAAGTTATTACTCTTCCTAACAACAAGAGAGAGATTTGTGAAGTATAATTATTGTGGCAGCCTTGTAGCACTTTAGGTAAGGTTGCAAGTTAAGAAACTAATGTAACCTCAACTAATACGTTTTCAGACACAACTGGTTCTGTCTATAGTAGGTGCAAAGTCATGTTTGAAAGCTGGTAGCTAAAACAGGTTGCTTGAATGTTTTTAAACAAGATTTTTTTTCCAGTCTATGCTAAAATGCACTTTGTAACCCTATAATGTAAACGGCCTTCATTTGTCTTGGGTGCACTCCAGAGTTCATAATTTGGGGCTGAACGTTTCTATGATTGCTCAGAGATTTGTTTTCTTTTTGGAGATGTGGGGGGGGGGGGGGGGGATAAAGCAGTCAAACATTTTTAAATCCAGGGAAGGGGGAAGGCAGGGTGATGTCAAAGGCTTGTAACTTGTCACTTATGACTTTAGTGCCGGGTTTGGTTTGAAACAAATGGGTTTTGATTTAACAAAGATATCACCATATGAAAGCTGTATGTATTGACCATACACAGTACATATTTTCATTAAGCTTATAGGTGTGCACTAAGACATAAATCCTCTCAACAGAACACAGAGACTTTTCTCCTACCATGTCTTCACTAATCAGAAGATCAACGCTTTCCACGATTGATTTTCTGGATTTTGATTTAGCAAGTCTATTAAAGACTTGCTAAATCAAACTCAGAGGGCACTCCATAGACAGCTGGTACTCCTGCTTCTGCGTTTGCTCCCGTTGGCCTCCCGCTGTGGGGATGGCGCAGAAACTTGAAAAAAGATATGTCGACTCCAGTTATGTAATTAACCCATCTGGAGTTGTGTATCTTGATTCAATCTTCCTTTTTAGCGTAGACCTAACCTCAGTAACATTTTGCTTTGCAACTGACTTATACTAGTTTGCTTATAATTCACTTACATAGGCAGTAACTGATTAGGATGCAATCATTGCTACACACATATGGAAGATACTATATATTTTTGTATAACGTCATAGGACTATATTAGGATGCACATCTTTTCACATTTCCATATTTCCCACAGTGTGATTTGAGAATAAACATCCTCAAGTTACATTTTTCATAGATCTGGGAAATAGATTTGCAAACATTTTGATCAGCCTTTAAAGTACAGGCAGTCCCCGGGTTACGTACAAGATAGGGACTGTAGGTTTGTTCTTAAGTTGAATTTGTATGCAAGTCGGAACTGGTATATATTGTAGGGGAAACTCTAGCCAAACATTTCTCCAGAGCTCAGTTTTATTCTCCCACACCTCACTTCCCTCAGTCCTTTATTCTCAAGCTGAGGTGTCTGCTGAGAAAAGCCGCTCCGCGTCTCCCTGGTCTGCTGGGGGGAAGCAGCTAGTGCAGGGTTGCCTCACCCCGTTTGTAAGTAGGGATCCGATGTAAGTCAGATCCATGTAACCCGGGGACTGCCTGTATAACTTCTAAGGAAATGTTTACAACTAAATATTATCTTAACTGCCATCACCATAACATAAAACATCTTGGGTAAGAATGTAGAACTAACTTTATGAATTTCGACATTGTTTTTGTACTATGCCAAATCATTTTTGATTCTTCTGATTTGGTTTCAAACCATGTGGCTGTATACTGATCAGCTGCATAACTCTCAGAGTTGCCGTGTGAGTTATATTCAATGTAAGATGACTTTTAATCAATAGGATGACAATATTATCTTGTTTAATTTGTATGATGGCAGTATTAAACATCAAATCAAGTAGTTTATTATGTCAAGAAAGATGAAGTATGGCAGAAATAAGATTCAGTTGACATCAGTTTTGTCTGTATTTCATTGTTGTGACAGGCCATCATGATTGGAGATGATATTGTGAATGATGTAGGAGGTGCCCAGCAGTGCGGTATGAAAGCTCTACAAGTACGGACAGGGAAGTACAGGTCAGTGCACATTATACACCTTACACTCCACACGGCTAATCATGGAAAGGGGATATATAACAGTAGAATATGATTTGCTGTATTTACGTTTGTCCTCCGGTACAGATTGGTGCCATATTCTTATGACACCTTAATTTAAAAGGGAAGGAGGAATTATGGCACTGCACCCAATGCTGTTTCAGAAGAATGCTGCAAAATGAGCAAGCCAGACCTGATTTTCACAGGTGCCTCTACTGGCTTTCTTCTGGCGGTGGTATAATTTTGCCATCAGCCTGTGCAACTACTTTTTTGTTACAAACCTCTGCCTACACTACTGATAGATCTGGCGGCAAGCATTAGAATTTCCATATGCAAAAAGCCTTTGGACAAAATTGAGTCTGAACAAGTGGAAGCTGGGACCTGGAGATCAGGCTCACAGTAGTTGGTTATTTTTTTTTTAAAAAATCCTTTTTAACACACCAATAACTGATCTTTTTTTGCTTGAGAACAAATGAGTCACCTGCAATATACACAACAGCCCTTGTGTCTTTGTTAAAGTCTGCCCTATGTTTTATTGCTGTAAGTGAACATGTTTGATGGGGAGCATTAATTACTCTACACTTGTTTTTGATATTCTCAAATTACATCATTGTTACTAAAGAGGAGGATGCCCAGTCTGCTTGTTCTGAATTCCACCACAACAGGTGTCACAGAGTGTCGGGGAGTGCAGTGTAGTTTTATACTCACAGTTTAAGCATTAGTAAATACAATCTTAAAATCAGCTATCTATCTATTTGAAAACATCTATGTACATTTTTCTACTATTGGAGTTATTGATCCCATTAATTTTCGTACAGTTTTTTCAAAGGGCCACTTTGAAAATCTACATCTTAATGTCAGGCAATCAGTTTAGGGGCTTGTTTCCTGAAAAGACAGATAAATTAGGACTGAAAAGTGCTGAGGATTTCAATGCAGCCTTTTGGGTAGCTGAAAATAAAAGTGGGGAATGTTGTATTTTCATATGTCAATAAGGTATTTGCTTCTCTGAACTATGATCCCCATAGATTCCAGTTATAGGAGTGTGATCAATTGCTCTGGATAGAAACAAATGTTTTCCTCTGTCCTTGTATATATTTCATATTAACATGTGTGTTTGCTACCATTCAAAATCGTATAATATTATATATGTGTGAAAATAGAGGCATCCCATTCTGAATTGAACTCCTGGTGCTATTCCAATGATGGGCGTAGCAATCACTAATAAAATCAGATAAAATGTCTGATAGACAAATAGAGACTAGAGAGACTGATTTATTAAGAACAGCAGTTTTATAGTATGTGGAAAATAAAAAGAACATATAGGAATTAAGAAGGACTGAAAATAACAAATAGTGAATGAAAGCTGATAGGCAAGAAATGTGACAAATAAAACGAGCAAAATTATTCTTCGGTTGATATAAAGAAAAATTCCTAATACAGCTTAAATTCTGATGGTTTGGCATTATTCCTGGATTCCATAATTGCACATACATATATCTTTTTCACACAGCCCATGTGCTACATTCAAATACCTCTAGGTGGCACTATTAGTACATACATATATATATATACACACACACACACACTTTCTCTCTCTTCAGCACTTAATGTGACTATATGATGTCTTTCCATGAAAACAAACAAGACTAATTTTGCGAAACCTCCATACACCGTGAATATTCCACTAGGATGTTATAATGCAGAAGCTGAGTGTCAACACATTACGCTTTCTGGAGATTTCAGCCAGGAAAAGTTTGCAACTCACCAAACTTTATTCTGAGTTTCAGATAACCCCTTTTATGCTTGCGGTCCAGGAGCACCTTTCTCCCATTTGAACCAGGATGTTGCTGGCTGCTCATAATAAAATGGAGGCAGCATCAGGCCAACAAGCTTGTGTTCCTTGGGCTAAAGAGCAAATAAAAGGAATTATGGAGGATAACTGCTCCAGTCATGTTTCCTAACATACTGTGGCAGCGTATGTACATCCCATTGCAGATGTGAGTATATTCTGGAGTGCGGACGTCTCCTGCTCGGCCATGAGGTAGCTGGATGTCTCTATAGCCCGTGAATATTCCCTTGTCTCAGGATGACCCAGAGTCCATAAGCAGGGCTGCTCACAGGACAGTATAGCCCACTGGCCAAAAGGCAGTAAATAGCCCCTATGTCCAGGTAGCACAGAGAGTCCATTAGCGACCCCTAGCGCAGGACAATATGGCCTACCTGCCAGAGTCTATAAGTGGCCTTGGTCTCAAGGCAGTGTAGTCTAAGGACCAGAGTCAGTAGGCAGCCCTTGGCTCAGGGCAGTATGACTCAGTAGCTGGAGTCTGTACGTAGCCCTAACCACAGGGCAGTGTGGTCTAATAGCCAGAGTCTATAAGCAACCCTTATCTCAGGGCAATGTGGCCAAAGGGTTAGAGTCAGTAGGATTGGGGTTAGCGCCCTGGTAGGGGGACCCCGGCCCACCCTGCTCCATCGGGTCCCGACCCGGGGCCCTGTGAGTGGTAGATCGGTCTATCACTCCCTCGGTGGTGAATCCGGCCAAAATACACCGAGTGTACCTGGGTGGGAGAGGCCGTTCCTGCACCCACCCTGGGTCGCTTCCTACCAGTGCTGCAGAGACATTGTCCGATGTAGTGGCTGGGTCTCCCAGTTCCCCAGCAGTGGTTTCTCCCTGGGGTTCCAATATAAGCTACCACCAATTTTTCTGTCTTGAGCGAAATAGTTCATCAATTTCTTTTTATCATAGGAAGACGACAAGTGGCCATGTAGTGCAAGGGATTAATTTAATCATCCTTCTCCTCAGGGGCACTAAATTAAAATTTGATTTGGGTGAGGATTTATGTATGCTTTTCAAAGGGGGAGGTTTGTGCTTTGGTGCACAGATACTATGGTGACTGGTGCCATGTCAGAACTTAGAGAGAGAAATCGGCTTTGGGGGAGGCACAGGAAAACTGTAGGTGACTCAAAATCCATGGGGTCTTGGGACAATGGTGGAGGCTAAGGACCTTCTGGGTATGTCTGGACTACATACCTCTGCTGACGGAGGCATGTAAATTAGACATACTGACATAGACAATGAAGCGGGTATTTAAATATCCCCCGCTTCATTAGAAAAAAAATGGCCGCCACGTTGTGCTGGCTCAGCTGTTTGTCAGCACGAAGTGACAGTCAAGACGGGGATCGGTCGGCAAGGAAAGCCTTTGCCGACCGATCCTGTAAACCTCGTTGCACGAGGCATAAGGGATCGGTCGGCAAAGGCTTTTCTTGCTGACAGATCCCCGTCTTGGCTGCCGCTTTGTGCCGACAAACAGCTGAGCCGGCACAACGTGGCGGCCATTTTTTTTTTAATGAAGCGTTGACTATGTCGGTATGTCTAATTTACATGCTTCGGTAGGCAGAGGCAGGTAGTCTAGACATACCCTCTGTGTGGAGGCCTGGCACTTCCAAATCTTTGCATGGGCCTGCAGACTGCTCTTTCAGGAGCTCTGTTCCCATGATGGCTTCAACAGAAGTTGTTCACCGGGGGAGGTTTAGAATGATGAGGGATTACTGTGTAAGAATGATGGCAAAATCAGCATCATCTTACATAAGGGATGGTGTAATGATAAGCAGCTCTCTCTTGGCTCTGCCCTTGCTGAATCTTCACAGCTTAAACCCCTCAGTGTACCTGTGGTGGGATTTTCTGGGGTCTAGGAGACCCATTGTTTCCCCCACTCCTGCACGTTCCATATGCTGAATTCCTGCCCAGTTATCAAACCACACCCAGAGCAGGTCAGGATGTAAAATGTAACGAATTCTAGCTGCCATATTTAGTCATAATTTCTGTTTTCTCGGAAGAAAGTGACGGTGGGAAAGGACATGGGTGATGTCTGGGAGCAATTCTTTTGAGTTGGTGTCAGTCACCATGTTTTCTAAGGTGTAGGAGAAAGGTTTGGTGGTTTGAATGGTTTATTTGTATACACGCACCAAAGTGATGCTGTGATGGGACCGTTATTATCAGCTGTGAATCCACAGGTGAAGGGATGGTCAAACATTTGCCTTGACCTGCCAGTGTCATCCCTCCCCAAAAGTTTTCATTCATCTGCCCACTTGGGGAGGAATAGAGCTGTCTCTCTCTGCTGTGACCTGGAGCATTTCAAGTGGAAGACAGATGCTGCTTTACAGAGTGTACCCAGTCCCATTGTTTTCTGGGATTTCCTATTGACCTTCAGAGATTTCTGCCCGTCTGAAAATGGGCAAGACACTCATAGGGCAGATGGATTATTTGGAGAGAGAACAAAATTTTTGTGATCTGATTAGAGACATAAAAACATAAGAACAGTCATAATGGGTCAGACCAAATGTCCAGCTAGCCCAGTATCCTTTCTTCTGACAGTGGCCAATGCCAGGTGCCCCAGAGGGGAATGAACAAAACAGGTATTCATCAATTGATCCATTCCCTGTTGCCCATTCCAAACTTCTGGGAAACAGAGGCTAGGGACACCATCCCTGCCCATCCTGGCTAAAAGCCGTTGGTGGACCTATCCTCCATGAATTTATCTAGTTCTTTTTTGAATACTTCTGGTATAGTCTTGGCCTTCACAGCCTCCTCTGGCAAAGAGTCCTATAAATTGACTGTGCATTGTGTGAAGTAATACTTCCTTTTGTTGTTTTTAACCTAAAAATCTAATATTCCTGTTGTACCTAATCAATGATATAGTTGGAGAGCTAAGTTTTCTGGGATTTTCACTTAAGGCTGGATGTAGAGAAGACTGCCTGCCATCTATAGCACTGAAGCCAGGACATGACCACAGAATTCCATTTTGGGTTGGAGAGAGAAAAAACACATGTTGGTGTCTGGTTTTTCACAGCATGAAAGTCAGATGGTGTATATACTGAATTTGACTCTCCTTCAGCTGTTTATATGAGCATCCGTGTAAAATTTCCATAGCAAAGCCTTCATAGTGAATGTGCATGCAATGTACTGAGGAACTCATATCCTG